ACCCTATTCCGAACGCTGAAAAATAACTTCGACTTGGTAAAATTAATATTTATTACGGGCAATTTATGTGACGAATTGGCAAGAGGTCCAGGTGGCAACAGGTATGCTAGTGCTGACTGCACGGCTGGCGTAGTGGTTTAAGCGGTGACCTCGCCGCTTCCTACTGCGCTGAGTGTTGTGGGTCCGATCCCCACATGGGACAACACTTTGTGTGATTCACAAATTGTTGTTCTGGGTCTAGGTGTTCTTTGTGTCCCTTTAATGTATGTTCGTAGTCCCCCGCGACACAGGATATATTGCTAGTGCTGGAGTTGTCTCAAAAAAAAAATTAAAGAAGAAAAAATCTTCTTTCATTAATTCATTCTCGAATATAGATGTTGTCGCAATCCTTTACTGGAAAATAATCCAGTGTCTGTTGTACAATAACTGCACTCTTATTCAAACAAAATATCTTCTACCATAATTATTCTGCACCTTTTATTAATATTGTGGTACAACTAGTATTCTATAAGAGTATTTCTTGTAATTTTATTAAATAACTTGGCTAACTAATACATACATAGTACCGTACCACTTTAGTTTTACTGTTAAAGTCGACCACGTTACGGTAAACATATAAACAAGAATATTACATAGTAATTTCCTCCTATATTATTCAATATTTTACTGCTAAATAACTGTTTCCAACGCTTGAAAATAACTTCGACTAGTCAAAATTAATATTTATTACGGAAAATTTAATGTGAAGAATTAGCCGGAGGTCCAGGTGGCAACAGGTATGCTAGTGCTCCCCCAGCAGTAAGGTCTATCGAGGTACTGAAAATGGAATTGAATTTAGTTTCGATATTTGCGGTCTATGGGTGTTCCAGACACTAGTCTAAAGGGTATAGGAATGTGCCTCCCTGGATGCAGATCAGAGTTCGAAGAAATCTTCGGTACTTGATATCATATCCGCTTTTGAGGGTCGAGCGTGATATTACAAAGCCTTCCTCAATGAATGCTCTTCTTCTTCGCTTGTTGATCTCAGCCGAAAGACTTATACTGCTGGGCATAGGGCCTTCCCCAAGTTTTGCCAATGTTCATTTTACGACCCACTCGTTTAGAGACCCTACTAAGGCCAATCGACAATTGTGCTAAGGTCTTCCATGGTTTCAACCATGACTACTATATTATCAGCAAATCGATGGTGTGTAATATTCTTGCCATTGATGTTGATGATAGGTCCATTATAGTCCAGAAGCCGTCTTGAAAACGTCATCTCTCTGCCTCACTCCTCGCTGCAGTTGAATAAATACTCTATTACCCTCTAATATTTCAAAGATTAGTGCGTTAAACAAAAATAAAACTTCTTCATTTCTTTCAAAGTTCTTCAATTTCTCCATATTCATTTTAAGGTATAATATATAATATATTCTACCACATTCACACAACGCCATCTAGTCCCAAACTAAGCAGAGCTTGTACTATGGCTACTAGACAACTGATATAAATACATATATACTTTTTTTTTTGTAAATACATACATATTATACATAGAAACACCCAGACCAAATCAAACATCAAAGGGCAAACGAGCAGACGGGGCACCTGATGATGTGTCAAAAGACTCTAACGTACAAATACGATATTAGTAAAATAGTACGATCTCGAAAACATTTACTAAAAAAATATACAACAGGCATGACCTTCAATGTGTTTAACAATAAATTGTCAGTTCACTATTATTTGTGCACGATTGTTCTAATTAGCCCCACTGACTTCCTTGTACGCGTTAACGTGAGAAATAGGAACGGTCGTTAGACCCCGCCTAGTGAGTTTTGACCATATAACAAACTATTTATGAATATGAAATAATAGGTCTTTACCTATGAAATTGCCGTTTTGTATGCAATAAGTGAAAGTACTTATTTTTTCAAACTTTTTTATTTTTGGTATTCGAAGTAATCACCCATGCAATCGACGCATCTTTGCCAACGCATTGGCAGTTTATTGATGCCCTTCTTGTAAAAATCAGCTGGACGGGAGGCAACAAACTCTTCAAAGGCGTTTTGTACTGCCTCTCGGGAATTGAATTTTTTACCCACTAAAAAGTTGTCTAAATTTTGGAAAAAATAATATAGTCGGTAGGTGCAAGGTCTGGTGAGTATGGCGGCGGTATGAAAGTTATAAAAATTAGAAACTGGCGATTCTAATTTTTATAACTTTCATATACACAGTATAGACGAATATAACGACACGTCAAACGCCTAAATCCATCAAGTCGTTACTACAGAGCGTGCCAGAGAAACACATACATAATACAAAAAGCATATATTATATTATACACTAGAAAAACAACTCCTTCTGTCGCAGTCGGGTAAAAATACAAATAACTAAAAGCTTCACCAATGTCGAATTATTGGCTTGAATTTTGCCTAATGATGTTTTCGTCTCCGTCTCCCGGATTCAGTTATGTTCTTGTTATTCGTTCTCTTATTCTTTAACGTTGCAAATGTACGACAAATATCATTTGCTTTGATTACCGCTTGTTTTTTACATCGAAATAGGGTTGTCGCCGCGTAAAGAACAAAATGTTTAAAGTGTTTGTTTTTGTTCAACTGGTAGAACAACTAATCGATGTGATTTCTTATAGCGATAAGGGCATAGAGAAAATACATGGTGTCCGTGACACTAATAGTGCAATGTATAAATGGGAATTTTATATTAGAAAGACTAAAGTCTGTTGTGAGTTTCGTTTATCTAAACATTTTAAATTTAATCTGAGCTCTCGCATTTATCATCTCTCTCCATTATTTATTTATTCATTTTTATAAGTATCCAGTGATTAAGTGTTGTCCCCAGACAATTCTTTTTTAAACCCAAACTGTTGGAGTAAAAAGAATCATATTAGCATAGACTTGAAAGGTCTACTAGCATCATCCACTAAGCGTTCCACAAGTTTCATTTACAATAGGTCAATTAGAAGTAGATTACGATTAATTGCCTAGATTTGTTTAGCTAGTTATTTGATTACTTAGTTAAAAGTAAAATTGTGTCAACAAAAGAAATGCCTGGTCGTGAGCCAATAATTTGTATAGCGTCAAACATGTAAAGGCATATTGTATATGTGTTGTACTGGTTTTCCTTGTAAAATTTTAGATAATACAACTCTGTATGCCATGTTTAAACTACTGTAATAAAATTTATTATTATTATTAAAACACAATACTATGTCCATACAAGTATTATAAAGCTGAAGTTTTTTTTTGAACTCGCTAATCTCAGAAACTACTGGTTCGAATTTAAAAAAACTTGTAATAGATAGTACTAATATTATAAATGCGAGTGTGTCTGTCTGTTACCTCTTCACGCCTTAACCTATTAACCAATTTAGATGAAATTGTCTATAGAGATAGTCCGAGTCCCGGGAAAGGACATAGGGTAGTTTTTATCTCAGAAATCATCCTTTAAGGGGGTGGAAAGGGGTTTGGAAGTTTGTATGGGGAATCAAAAACCGCTAAACCGATTTAGATTAGCATGAGGTATGGAGATACTGTGATTCTTGAGGAAATAGGCTTCTTTTCACCGCAATAACCGACATTTACGGGGGCGGAGCCGCGGGCAAAAGCTAGTAGGCTATATAATATTACTCTACGGCCAATAGGAGGCGAGGATCAATAAAAAATGTTGCAAAAAACGGGCAAATTTATTCCTTTTGTGAAACACAGACAAAGTTACGTTTGTCTGCTAGTGTAAATATCGACGGTGCATGAACTAATCTATTCTAAACTGACCTACGAATTACGATAAGACATAACATGTTTAGTAAACAAATGATAAAGTACAGTGAAAGTAATAATGCTTAACCTCTGATTCTTTTGACCTGTTAACCCGCAAACCCACGTGCCATACACTAAGATACTTTAATACCCACGCACTGTCTCGTCTTGACATATCACCGCGATAAGATGCTTATTTTAGAAGTTATTTATATATGTCTAGCAGATAAAGGTACTCTGCGAATCGTGAGAGTGTAGTATCGGTTTTTGCCTTACAAAGCTATAGAGAGAAATCCAATATTGATAGGGAGTTACTGTCAAGAAGGTTACTTTCTTCTTTACGACCTCGTTGCTCCATATAATGTATTTACTACTAGCTGAGACCCGCGGTGTTACCCGCGTTTCTTGTTATAACCGCGGGGCGAAGCTAGTCTAAAAAAAGTAGCCTAAGTTACTCCTTATGTCATCAGCTATCTGCCAGTAATCGAAATCGGTCCAGCCTTTCCAGAGATTACCCGGAACAAACAGACAGACAAAAATTGTAAAAAATGTGATTTTGGCATATGTACATACATATGCATTTAGTAAAAAGCGTTTATTTTAATATTACAAACAGACACTCCAATTTTATTTATTTGTATAGATTGTAATAAAGCTTTGTGTGTTTGTTTGGTTGCTTAAACTTAATAACTGAATAGTGACCATAAACGCACAAAAAGCTGATACGGAAAGACTAGTAACTCCCATTAACTCTTAATATGAAGTGTACGTTACAAGTGTATTACAGTGTTACGAACCGATCCACACTTAGTAAAAGAACATCTCACATCTAGCACCGTGCAAGCTCTGGTTAATTTAAGTAATGCGCGCCTTCCTGTAACAGATTTCCGTCCCTTTTCACTAAATCACTGAAACATATTACAAAGTAGTAGTTAGGAAAGCGATAGAATAAATGTTACACGTCAAAAATATTTTTTAGTTAAAATACAAATGGTTACGGAAGCTAACTTGACACAACTTTGATTTGGCACTAAAGCAAGTTAATTGAAATTTGTCTTAGTTATGAACTAAGATCACATAGTATTAACTTATTCCAATGATGAAAACAATGGCTAGAGTCCTGAAACTCACTGTTGAGAAATCCTTTCTCGTTCACTTATATCTGACAACATAACTGTTTTACCGCAACCCTGATAGCTCTCACGAGACCATTCTGACATGTTCTATGATCTTCTTTTCCAGATGAGAAAGAGAAGTACGATCCTAACGGTTTCCGCGACGCGCTCGTCCAAGGGCTCGAGCGCGCCGGCGGCGACCTCGACGCGGCCTATAAGTTCTTAGACTCGGCCGGCTCGAAACTAGACTACCGGCGGTATGGCGAAGTCATATTCGACGTGCTTATCGCCGGGGGGCTGTTGCGTAAGTAATCATGTGTTTGTGTAACATGTAGACGTCTGGAACGTTCCATTGTAGTGTTCTAACATTTTGTTCCACGACCAACTTACGAGAATTGCACTGAAGAAAAGTTCAACAAATAATATTTATATCATACAAACATTACCACGGTTAAGGTACAATTAACATGTTTTACACACACAAGTAAGTTTAAACCAATTATCACATACTCAAGATATCTGGTCTGCTGGTGATCAGATATTGGTTCTGTATGTAACCATTCACCTATACTTGTGAGATATATGTTATACGAATCTCGAAACTACAGTAATATTAGATTTGTATCATCATAAGTGTGTCCACAAACGCATAGGATAACTTAAGGCGATCATATTTTTCGAGTGTTTCTTGTTCGAGTTCTGTTCTCCATAGCCGAGTCTCAAGACCTCTTCACGTTTTTGTTAGAGAACTGGTCCTTCGAATCGTACCAGTACATTTTAATACGCGAACAAAAATATGTATAAAATGTGAATAGCAACCAGAATGTGATAGGTACTATACTTATAAGACCACGGTTATCCAGAAAAAAATTATAACGTAATGTTTTTTAGAAAAATTATGAAGTAATTACTAAATTGTTAACTTCAAATGATAGTATTTATGACATTTATATGTAGGCGCTAGTAATTGCTTTAATATCTATCACCTTGATTTCATAAAGAAATCCTTTGAATGATGAAATATCTGGCTAGAGTCCTGACAATTGATGACAAACCCTGTTCGTTCGTTTTTGCTGACACAATATTTAGACACCCTTACTTACGAATATATTATTACCACCTGATTTTATATTGAATTTGTATTTGACTCCTCAGTCCCCGGTGGAGGGGTGTCGATGGACGGCGATACCCCGAAGACCAACACCTGCATCTTTGCCGCGAGCGAGGACATGGAGACCATGCGTAACTTTGAACAGGTAATAAAATATTCGTATTATAACATTCAGTGTTTGAGTAAGGTCATAGAGAAAAGATATCCGGCTCGAAGGACCACTCCGGGTTAAACTCACATGGTTTTTTTCTTTGCAAATAAGTCTGCAACCAAACTAAAATATCCCATGAAACCGGCCATGGTTAGATATTACTCTTATCAGCCCACTGGATTTCGGTTTTAATGTCGTTGCACATAGCTGCATACAAACACAATACTGCTGAAAAAAGAGACCAAGTAAAGCCATTCTCACGTATATATTTCATAGAAAACATTTTCTTTTTACAATATAATTTAAAAAGTCGCATTAATAAATCCATATCTTATATGGTCCTTTTCCTATTAAACATCATTAATTTGACGACCGGATGGCATAGTGGTTTGTGTAACGGACTGCTATTCCAAAGGTCGCGGGTTCGATGCCCGCTCAAGTCAAACATTTGTGTGCGTGAACATTTAATGTTTGATTTAGTCTGGGTGTTGCTATGTATTATATGTATGTATTTACAAAAAAAAAGTATATTGTGTATTTATATCGGTTGTCTATTACCCATAGTACAAGCTCTGCTTAGTTTGGGACTAGATGGCGTTGTGTGGATGTGATAAAAATATATATATTATTATAATATTAAAATGATGAAAAACATGGCTAGAGTCCTGAACATATATGTTGAGAAACCATTTCTCGTTCATTTACCTCTGACGTTAACAATGCATACTATACTACTGATATGTTATTTTAACACGGACACGCTAACCACACCGATATTATTTGCAGGTATTTGTGAAGTTGATGCGACGTTACAAATATCTGGAGAAGATGTTTGAGGAAGAGATGAAAAAGGTAAACATTTATGTTCCATTTGATCATCATTTGTTAAGTTTTAAATGTTTTATTTTACTACCAAGAAAATATACTCATTATGTATGTTCCTATCACTGTTCGAAAGGTCTGTACTATGATTGAATACATATACATATATCTGACCCCTGCAGATTTTAGTAGCACTTTTCTGGATAATTCAAAAAATAAAGATCCTTGGGTGGGTTTTCTTTATAGTTAGGGGAATAACTCACATTTATCTTTAAGAAATAAAGAGTTACAGAAAATTACATGAACTAGTGTCGTGCCCATTGAACACTTAAATAAATACCTGCTGTAGTTAACTTGCGTATGATTTCCGTTTGTAAAAACTTTTCACGGTTCTTTAGTACTGATTACGACTTGTGTTCGAAATAAAACTGTAAATTGACTGTCAAGTGCAGATGTAATTACAGTAATAATAAACTCTATGACTGTTTAACGTTTTCCGAGATCCTTGCAATTTGAACGGGAGCGAAGAAATCCTCTCTGCTTACGAGAACATTGCCGTTTTTATTACTCAACTAGCTGCAAAAAGAAACCATTATATTGACATGACACAGACACTTCAATTTTGTTTATTTATATAGATATTTGTATAGATAAAAAATTGTTCTATTATAATCTTTTTATATCCCTTTGCCGCGATTACAGTAACTTGTCAACGCTAGGTTTATAGAAAATTCCGGCAGTTTAAAATGTCTAAAACACGTATTTTGAAACTAGATTCATTTATCATCTTCACAAACATACAATGGCTTAAGTAGACTAAGATTGGAGACAGTCCATAAGAAAAGGTCGGTTTTAAAGAAAATAATTTAACGTTGCAATGAAATTTTAGGTGCTTGTCTACCTGAAAGGTTTCGAGCCACTACAGCGCATCAAACTTGCACGTATGACTGCATTATGGATCGGTGAGTAGCGATTGATTAGTTAACTTATTAACATGAGTCTTTTGAAGAGTTTAGAAGTACATCTATGTAACACTAATTATAGCAAGAATATAAGCAACCTCACACAGCTGTATGATCCCAAACCAGTCAGAACCTGTGGTATGCTAGACTGCTGATAAACATATTTAAATATTTCTATCACACCCAGACACAGAACAAATGAGCGTGCTCATCACACAAATATTTGTCTAGGGTGAGAGTCGAATCCGCGACCTCCCGCTCGACTCGTTGCCATTGGAATCATGTTGTCGATGATGCATCACAAAAGCAGGGCAGTAGAAATAAAAATAAACTGTTAAACTATATAGTAAATACGTTATTTAATATACCGGTTAGAAGCCGAATTGGTTCGATGGCTATATACATCGGCTGGTGCCGCGAGGTCGTGGGTTCGAACCCCGCTCGGCACTATAGGTGCTTTTTCGAATGTATATGCACACGATTAGAGCCGTGTAGCGCGTATTGCGCTGCGCGGTGTCGAAGTAGTGCTATAGCGAAGCGCGCCGATCATCCTCGGACACCACCACTTGTGTTGTCTGATCACACTGGCTGTGCGACATTTTTGTTCTTATTGATAATTTTGTTATTACTTATTAAAACATAATAAAAAACGTATTTTTTTGGAGGAAATAATGATACATTTGTAGTAAAGAATAACAAATAACTTAGTCCTAAATAAAGGAAATCGTTACGCATCCTCTGAAAAGTTTTATTGATGTATTTATTGCCTTGTAATTTGGTTATATATCTACTTTTATATGGTGTCCTATAATGTCCATATTAAGTTCACTAACTCATTTCTTCATGCAAATTTAAAAGCTTGTATGAAAATAACAATAATTCAACAACTAAACGCTTCTCAGTTTATTAAATATTTTGTTGTCTGATTTACAATTTAAGCTTAATGTCTTAAAAACTTGGCTGCATCAGTGGCGCAGAGGTAGCGTATGCGACTACTATTCTGGGTCACGGGTTCGATTCCCGGGTTAGATCAGATCAAATATTTGCTTGGGAGTTCGGGTGTTTCCTATGTATAATAAGTAGTAGGTATTTACAAAAAAAAGTATATAAATATTCTATCAGTCAGTCTAGCTTTTATAGTGCAAGCTCTGCTTAGTTTGAAACTAGATGGCGTTGTGCGTTAGATGTCCAAAATATTATTATCAATAATAATATTTTGGACATAATTATTATTATGTTTAAGATTTGTATAATATTTTTTACATTGTTCAGGCAACGGTTGCGTGCCGCCGTCGGTCCTGCTGGTCTTGGTGAACGAACACTTGCTAAAGGACAATCTGGCCTTAGACTTCGTGCTCGAAGTGTTCTCGACCGTCAAACAAGAGCGTGGTGTCACCTCGTTGGTCACCGCGCTCAAGAGAGGACAACTCGAGGGCAGGTTTGTACATCCACTGCTTATCATATTTTGATACTGCTTATCAATGCTTAGAACTTGAGAATAGTAAAATGAATACTGTCTTATAATAATAATAATGTTTAAATAAAAATGAGGTCTCTCTGGCGGCGTGTCGACGGGGGTTACCGAACCGACCACCCGAGTTGTACAACTGGTTGGTCAGTTAGGAATATTTATTCCTAACTGACCAACACGTTCACACACGTTTTGTTCCTGGGTGTCGTAAGAGCCGACTGAGGGAGCAAACTACGCAGGACAACAGCACTGCAAAGAGAAGGAAAACTTGACACAAACCATATACCAACCCGTCTGGCCAGCGTGGTATAGTAGGCCAAAACCTCCTTTCTAAGGAGAGGCCTATGTCCAGCAGTGAACTATTATGGGCTGTTAATGTGATGTGATGATGTGAGAATGAAGATATTTTGTTAAAAATAGGTTTAGTAGTTGCAGAGGTTACACTTTCAGAGGTATACTGATAAATATTACTCTATAAAAAATTATAATATACCAAAGAAGAACAATAATAGGTAATCACCTACTAGGTAATGAAAATTTGATTTTAAGAGCTTTCAGCCTTTCTGTTAAAATAAATATAGAATGAAACTTTTTTATTTCTTAATATTTTATAGGTATTGAATAAAATAATCTTTTGATACTAACTGACCAATAAGATGCAGAAGTTGGGTGGTTAGGAATAAAAGTTCCTAACTGTTCCAACCAGTTGGACAACTCGTGTGGTCGGTTCGGAAACCCCCGTGTCGACGACGACGCTAAAGCGCTAGTTAATGGCAATATTGTATAATATGTAAACGCAATTTATTTTTTACCGCTCTTCAAATAGGAGGAAGTTCCGAATTGACCTATGATTTCTTGTGTTGAAATTTGTAGAACATATTCTGCCTTTAAGAAATATAACTTTTAATTATATTATATATAGATAAATATTTTTTTCTTTTTTTTAATTCTTTCATTATTAGCAAATCGAAATGTTGCGGCAAATAATAAAATGAAACAGAGTGAAGTGTCAGATAAGAAGCTATAGGATATCCTCGCAAAGTATAAAAGTAACTCACTTTTATTAAGTTTGCTTACCGAAAGTGAGGATATAGCAATGGCGTCATTGTACTGGCTTGTCGTATTTATTGCGATGCAGTCATTAATGTCGCTACAATTGTCACTTATATAGTACTACCTGACCCTGCAAACGTTGTTTTGCTATTTACATTATTTAATTATTTTTATTGATTTTCTTAAAATCCTTTCTTAGCTGACCTCTACTCGGTGCAAAGAATATGCCTACCAAATTTCATGTCTTTATCTCTAATGGTTCCAGAGATATCGTGATGAGTCACTATATACGTGGAAATCTCATATATACGTATTATAGGTCTTTATATCGTTTAGAAAAGAAAAATGAAACTCTAAGCAAATCAATTTCATAGGTAGAGTTATATTATGTGCTATTAGATTGATAATAACAGAAATAAATGTACTCAGACTCCTGGAGTTCCTGCCACTGAACCGTCGCAGCGAGGAGGTGCTGGCGACGTCGTTCGCATCGCGCGGACTCGCGGAGCTGTTGCGGTTGCATCGCGCACAGGCTTCGCAGGTACTTTCTTACTTTAAACATCATCTGTAATTGATCAAGACCACCACACTGGACGGAAATCTGTAAATGTGTAATTATCTTCTAGTGGCTAGCTAGCTACTAAAACATAAGGTTTAATAGCTTTGTGATGAAAGGCAAAAAAAAATCCTAGTCTATGAAGGCAGTTTCCTGGTAATAAATTAAATAGAAATCACTGTGGATACTTTTTATGCTTTTAATACTTTAATTTGTGCCATCTATTAGCTCACTTTCGCATCTTCAGTATCTAATTACTAATAATAATTAACTCTATTTTACAGATATCTTTTTATGTAATGAAAGTTGGTTAATGAAACACCTCTTTGAGGTTTAATTTCATGGGGTGACCGCCCTAGTCAGTACGACAATACAGTTAAGATATATTTGGAATGTACAGGAAGCTCGCCGCGAGTTGACACAGGCGCTCCTGGACGAGCTCGCGGAGGAGAAGCCGGTGCGGGACCTGATTCAGGAGCTGCGCGATATGGCCGTCAAACACTCCATACCTGAGCATGAAGTTGTTGCCATTGTGAGTACTGAACCGAATTGTAAATTTTACTTTGTATTTTGATTGTTTAAATCATTCTTGCAGTTTAAGAAATATGTTGAGAATTAACTTCTAATTATGTAATTAACTTATACAAAAGGAGAGAATGATATCTCACTTATTATATAATGGAATAAAAGTCGATATAAAATAAAATACATCAAAGGCCAACAATGCATTTTTGACTTAAGTTTTCAAATGTCCATAGGCAGCAGTAGTCAGTGACTATCAGGTTACCCGTGTGTACTTTTGGCCCTGATACAAGCATATTATAATGTAAAACGTTAGAAGAATAATAATAACGTTAAAAGAATCTAAAGCTGCTTGTGTGTGTGGGTACTATGTTGTCTTTATAATAAAAATAACCTCACATATCTCACACACGGTCATCTGATCTCAAACTAAGCAGAGCCTGTACATTGGAACCAGATTGCTAATAAAACTTATATATTTCTAAATACATACATATTATACGTAAATTACATCCAGGCACAGAACAAAAGATCCTGCTCATCACACAAAAACAAACACTACCTTTGGTTTAAGAGTCAGGTTTACTAAACTAAAAGACCCAAAAATTTAATCTCTCTTTTTTACATCTACTTATAAAGTAACTAATTATTAGTCAAGTTAGTCAGTATATTATAGAATTTTTACATGATGATACTCGATGACGAGTCGGAGTATAACTACGTAGACGAGCCGAGCTTGGAGGGGCCGAGTTATTCGGGAACCTCCTATGTTTGGATCGTTAACTTTGTTGTACCTTGTCGATATGGCACTCTGATTAATTACAAAATTCAATTTTGAATACATCCTAACAAGGTAGAACATCGAGTATAGTTGGAATATTGTTTGTGGTAGATCTGGCAATGTGTGATGTCCCGTGGCGAGTGGAACAAGAAGGAGGAGTTGCTCGCGGAGCAGGCGGCGAAGCACCTGCGCCACTACACGCCGCTGCTGGCTGCCTTCGCGCAGTCCGCTAAAGCTGAGAGCGCGCTACTCACTAAGGTAAGCAGACTTGCTAATTACTGACAATAAAAACCCCAGCTTGTAAAATATCCAGCTACATATAATAGGAGTTTTCGACCCTTGGAGAGTCTTGCTTCGCGGCACATGGGCTGGCTTCACCTAAGTGTTTTCTTTTTACGTGTGGAAACTCTCTGCCCATCACCCCACCGGGGTGGTGTGTCGCAATCGGACCTACTAAAACCACACGGTGTGCCACTCTGTGCCTGTAATAGGAGGGATCCGGGAACTGTTGTAATTCAGACATCCGGACCCCTCCCAGCGCACGGCGCGAGCACCACCCTCGGGTACATTCTCTATTTAGGCGGGTGGAGGAAGTCCCGTCCACCCTCGGCACACTCAGGGCGGCATGAGGCGGTGTTAAGCGAAGAAATTCTTTCCTTGCTTTACACTGAGTGAGTGAGCTAGTGTCTCTTGAGTTGCAGGAGTCCAAAGACGGTGGTAGTCGCTTACCATCAATAATAATTAATAATGAAGTACTTTATTGTTGTAGGTGCAAGAGTATTGTTACGAAAACATGAACTTTATGCGCGCGTTTAGCAAGCTGGTGGTGATGTTGTACAAGACGAATGTCCTGTCCGAAGAGGTAATCCTCAAGTGGTACCGCGAGTCCAGCTCCAGCAAGGGCAAGATGATGTTCCTTGACCAGATGAAGAAGTTTGTCGAGTGGCTACAGAGTGCCGAAGAAGGTAGCATTGATTATATTTATTTAGTCTTAGGTCTTAGGAGACGAAGGAAATTTTGAAAAAGGCTATTTTTCAACTCATTAGAGCCAAAAATGATTGAACATGCTAGATTCTATGTCGAATATGTTAAATGCTTACGTATTTTAAAAGTGAGATTGAAAATAACCAAAAGTGGTAACAACAACATTTTAGTCAAAAACTATTTTTATTTCACAAAAAAAAAAAATATGTCTGAATCAGTAGCGGTACTAATTTACATGATGATACTCGATGACGAGTCGGAGTATGACTACGTAGACGAGCCGAGCTCGGAGGGGCCGAGTTATTCGGGAACCTCCTATGTTTGGATCGTTAACTTTGTTGTACCTTGTCGATATGGCACTCTGATTACTTCTATACACACCATTTTAAAACCATATGCATCTAAAATGACAGGAATTTAAAAATGATTGTAATTTTCAGAGTCCGAGAGCGGCGAAGACGAAGATTAAATTAAGAGCAGCGAGTGAGACTGACAACAAGCCGCGCCGTCCCACCCTCAGCATAATCATCCCCCCCCCCTCCCCCCCCAGGTCCAGTCCGTCAGCACGGGGCGGCGCCGCCACACGCACCCGCCATGTCGCACCTACCGACTGTACCATAACTATATAGTAATAATAATGTTGATAACACTAGGGCGACACAATACGGGATAATGTTTTCTACAATCTGTATATTATTCATTTCTAAATAACATGTTGATGAAATACCATATTTTTTATTCAATTTTTTTAGTAAAATTCAAATAAATGGTGGAAACCAGTTGTTGTTTTATTGTGGACGGTAACTTTTGTGAACTCATTCGCTCCTGTCGCCTGTCAACGGAAATTATATTAAACAGATTTGAATGCACGGATGGCGTAGTGGTTTAAAGAGGTCCTACCTGAGTTAGATTCTCCCATGGGACAACACTGCGGTTCACAAATTGTTGTACTGAATCTGGGTGTTCTTTGTGTCCGTTTCATGTATGTTTGTAAAGTCCCCGCGACACAGGATATATTCCTAGTGCGGGAGATCTTTTAAAAAAAAAGAAAAACCGAAATAGTAATGATACAATCTATGTATTGGCCAAAATTGAAATATTGATGCCAAACTGTAAAAATGATATTTATGTAAATATTGAATAATAAAGCAAATGAAAAAGCACATTGGTGATTGAATTTGGAACGATTTGAATGTCTATTTCATTGACCAGAAAAATATAAAAATGTCGAACAGTTTTGTATCAAGATATAGACAAATATAGCTGCATATAGACGTTATTCAATAATTTTAAACTTTATAGCATGTTATTTAAAAATGGTAGAATGCACTTCTACATAAATATAAACATTCTGAACAGAAAAAAATGATTCACTTTATTATATTTTTATTAAATAGGCGTGCAAAGAATTTGCTTTATTAAAAAGGTAATACTTGTCTGTATTTTGCCGGTAATCTTTAAAATTACTTCGAAAACATTCATAATTGATAGTAACGGTTCCTCTGACTAATGAATGTTAAATTCTGTTTTGAGAAAATAATATTAGTCATCAGTAGATGTCACAGTAGGTAGGTACTTATTTATATTAAATATGTTTGAAAGTAATAAAATGTTTAATTGTAAATATATATATACAGGTGTTACACTAAGTGGTATATTAGACCCCGTAAATAATGTAATATGCTGACAATTTTACCAATAAATTGATTTGGGGAATTCATTGATAAAACTAACATATCAAATAAAGAGCGTGCTCGCTGCTACCAAGGACTTTAATGGGATGTCCATGAATGAATTAAACCTGCCTTTTCTAAGTTTATTCCGGCTACGAATACTACATAATAGGAAAAACATGTTAAACACACATGTTAATGTAGTAAGGGTTAAAGTATGAAATTGCCGATTTGTACTGGAAAATTGAAACTTGTTTTTTTCTAAGATGTAACATCACATCACATCAACAGCCTTTAATAGACCACTACTGGACATAGGCCTCTCCTTAGAAAGGATGTTTTGGCCTACTATACCACGCTGGCCAGACAGATAGTGTTTTTTTTTACAATTCGATCCAAAATTTCTTCATTTCAGATCAGTCAAATCATGAGGCATCCATTTTTCATATTTTTTCTGTCTTATTGATTTGATGCAAATGAGTAAATATTGTAGGTAGGGTAACGTTAAACCATGCCGCTAATACCTGGGTAGTTTGACTCGGATCGGCTTCAACAATCTCCTTCAATTCAGCGCTATTCACCTGTGTGGGCGGTCTTCATCGAGGTTCGTTCATTCGTTCTTCAAGTCGAAGTTTCAATGACGAAAGCGTTTAAACGCACGGTGTGTTCATCAGCAGTCTCCTCTCTTTTTTTTTTTTTTTTAATCTTTATTTATTTAGAGGCCGCAGTCCTCTCCAAACGCAGCGTTGATATTGCGAGTCGTCGTCAGTTCCGCGTCGGAACGCTTATTAAAAAATGACTCGGTTTTTTGAAATATCTATCTTTGACGACTAAGCTGAATAAAAAAAACAATTGAAAGTCGAAAATCGAATGTTGCACATTTTTAAAAGAATATAAATTTTTAAAGGTATCGTGTAAAAAAGGTTTCACACTAAAATCTCACACCATGAAGGTTTTATGTTAATTCAAAATACCTAATTTTGAGGCTTAAAGATGACGTGTCTTCATAGCATGTGCCTGTGGCAATCATCGTTACTTTTTTCCCGCTCTTTTTCCCAATTTTTTTGGAGCCGGTTCAATGACTGCATTGCAAAGGGTTTTGCAATGCAGTCAAACAACAACAACAGCACGAAGAGGCCGTGCCGCCCTGTGACTACGACTGACTACGATACAGAAGGCAATGTGGTAAATAACAGAAATATTATTACAAAGCGTTGTTTACACACCATACTGCGAAGAGTTTTCTAAACTCATTAGGTCTGGCTAATGAGTTTAGAAAACTCATAAACGTAGTTTTTTTGATATACACAATATACTTATATATATAAGTAATACATATATCCATGTGGTGATGGATTAAGAATACGCAGTATCACCACCCTTATTCATCCCGTGAGGGTTGTAAGAGCCGACAAGGGAGCAAACTACGCAGGAGTTGTCCTGCGTAGTTTATGTGTGCATTGGTCTGGGACCAGATAGCTAGATAGATATTCATGCATGCAAACCTTTCATAGTTAATAAGTGTATTCATTATTATCAACAGCCTTTAGTAATTCACTGTTGGACAAAAAATCTGTTGAACTCAAATAATGTCAATTTTCTTGAACTAAAAATAACATAATAGTTCCACTTGACGTTATAATACGTTTAAAGTAAACGAGTTCAGGATATCTACCTTTATTAAACGGTCAAACCATACTCCAGGTTTTCAACGTCGAAGTAATACAAAAGCACGGTACAATTATAATACAGTACTCCAACTTCATACAAACGGACGAAACACGAGCTATACCTACGCGCCTCGATCTCGGGGTGCGCTCGGGGCGCAGACAGTCACGGCTGTACCACAGTGTCGAACGGACGGCGTGTTGTTTTTTTTAACAATAACCGCGCGATTTTTTCTCTAAAAATCAGTTAATATGACGAGTAGGAAATATTGTGCTGCTTTTGGTTGTATGAATTCGTCAGTAACGCATCCAGACATAAGTTTTTTTAAATTTCCTGGAAACTCTGAAAGGTAAGACTATAAAATAATTTTACCTACTAGTAGGAAGGTACATAATGTGTGTCTTTTTAATGGATAAGTATTTCCTTTTATCTTACGAAAAAAAAGGTGTTTGGATTCATAAATAAAGCGAATAGAGTAACGGAAAGTTATTGAGACGAGTGAAATAGGTAGTTATATGCGGTTCTGAATGAATCATGATACGGTACGTACCTACCTACTTACGCTTGTGTTAAAACTTCGGTGCATGTGTGTTTTGTTACTTTGCATAATTCAAAGTAAAGACGTGGTATTTTATTTTTAATAATATTTGTTTATTATCTGTGTGTATGAATAATACTAGAAATTTTTTTTTACCGTCTGTGTGTCATTAGATAGTTTTCGAAATTTTCACAAAGTGTTTCTGCTGCTACTATAACAACATATACCACTAAAAACTGGTTTCATTTTCTCATTATTAACAACAACAGCTAGACTCATATATAATATTTAGATGTTTGAGGGTTGTGATTTTAAAACATTCGTAGTCAGCTGTTCAGCTTTTTAATAATTAATTAATTGGTGACCAAAGAATTTTTGTTTTGAGTTGTAGGTAGGTACCTAATTTATAGAGACGTTAATAAGCTGAGATAAAAAGTTACTTACTCGTCAGCTGTTTCTTGCATTCTAGTTGAGTAGGTAGGTGTTGGAGTTTCTAAGGATTGGAGTTTTGTAACGCGTAAGGAGAAAGCACATTTTTTTTATTCTATAGAAGGATTTTAAAGCTATTGCATAGCTTTTATCGCGGGCTCTGAGCGCGGCGCTACACGGTGACCGAATCGAAAAATTCTCAAAACCTAACGAAAAATACCTGACACCACGCAGATTTTTTTCTTTAAAAAAAAAATGTTATGCAATAGCTTTACCGCGGCAGTCTCCGAGAGTGTCACATGTATTATTTTTTTTCAGACGTCTTCAATGGTTGCAACTCATCCGGCGAGATGATTTGGAAAACAAACCTAACTTTAGTTCCTACCAAGTTTGTGAAAAACATTTTAATTTGGAGGATGTATTACATTCATCAAATAGAAAACTTTTAAAAAAGAATGCCCTACCATTGTTGATGCTGCCAAGCTTAGCTAGTACTGATTCAGGAGTATCTCTAAAAGAAGATAAACAAACCCAAACTGCTCCGTTGGTAAGAAATGAAAATAGTACACAGACTGAAAATGAAATCTTTGCTCAAACCTCAACGAGTCTCTCTAGCAACACTCCTAGAAAAAGAAAATTGAAACTTGAACTCCTCCAATGCAGAAAGAAAAGAAAATAATTAAATCCACCAATCAAAAAACAACACGCATTTTTATTGAACACTTCCTATTCAATATACAAAGTATTTCATTTATTTATATAAAAAGGATATTTACAATCACAAATCTAAATAGAAACAGAAAGTAGTCAAATATAATTAAAATGCTGGAGACGGGCAGCCCTAACGCATGTTTACGTACCGCGCGGCTGTAGGCATTTATTTCTATCATGCGGCCGAGTTACACTACTGTATTATAATAGTACCGTGACAAAAGCGTGCTAAGAAAATACTGTAAACATGCTAAACATGGCAGCAGCCGTTGCATACACATGCATATAGGTAGGTACGGGATGCTTTTGTCCCCGAAAATTTCGCAATAGCCGAGGGGAGAGTTCAAGGTCCTAACTGGATTCCGCACGAGGAACGGCTGACAAAAAACCAGTCAAACTTTAGTAAATAGCCACCAAACACATCTGTGTCGTTACTAATTTGAGTCTAAA